CCCCTCGTGACCTGCCGCCAACGGGAGTGGTAACAGATCCCCCTGGCGAGACCCTGATTGTGATGTTGCTGTCCCCTGACCTGGCTACAATGCTCTAGGAGTTTGCAGGGTGCAGGATGCTGACTCACATGCCTCAGCCTTACGCCTCTGACCTGTCAGTGTCTTGGATGTTCTTTGCCCAGTTTCGATGGAGCATTATGGTTTTTATCAGCGTCCTAAAGTCTTGATGTCTTCAGAGTTTGGCAGTTTGTTTTCTAACCTTTGTTTCCAGTGTGCAAGTTCTTGGTATTTTTGTATTATAATCCATGCATATTGTACAATATAAACAAAACCCATAAATGTATAAGTACACGTGTAAATATATGTCCCGATATATGACCCAAACCAGTTTTTATCCGGAGAGCAGGCTTTCCAAATTATCTTCTCAACAGATTAGTAGATGGTGTCTTTCTAGAGGTGCCATAAGCAGTTTCTTAGCAGCTTGAAGCTACTTGAAGTAGGAAAGTGTTTTCCAAATTTTTACTGCATTAGAGAGCAGGCTGGTTTTGGAAGGAAAAAAGCACTAATGATCTGGTGATAGGCTGATTTTTTTTGTGGGACTGAGTTAAAAAGCTTTTCAAGTTTCATCTAAACTAATCTGATGTGAAATGTAAATAGTATATGTTATTCTTGCAGGATTTGTTGAGGAAATTAGGGAGAGTTTGTCTCGTCTTTTCTATTGCTTAGTTATGTCATGCTCCTGTTGCTGTTCAATTTGCAGTGCTCTCTGTTTACCATGGCAAAATGAGTACTCTGTGTGTTTCCAAATTTACAGTAATTTAGTCCCTCACATAATGTTCTTTGCTTAAACGTTTAGTAATTGGTAGAGACCAGGTAGAGTGGTTTTTGACTGACTCATTTTAGATCAATCAGCTTGAGGATGTTTATGTTTCAAGCTGCTGCAAATACGGTGTTTTTTATTTTCCAGCTTAATTTTTTTTTTTAACTTGCGTATATCCATCACGCAGTGTTTTTATTCTCTCTTCCTCACAGTTCGGATATATTCCACCTACCCAAAAGTTCTATAAATAAATCTGAAAGCTGTATAGAATTGTTTTCTTCCAAGCAGCAGATGCTCGGCCCTCTGTGTGTACGTGCCTGGAGCGCTGGTGACATCCAGTGGCTGCAAAACACTTAACGATGGCATTTTGCAACCGCACAATAACACACCTGATGGTAATCCCTGACAGGATAATTGGCTGAAGTCTGCAGACGCTGTGGCTGGTTTGGAGCTGACCCCGCTGCTCTTTGGACAGTTGGACTCTCAGCTCCTTTCTTGGAGAAGCTGCCTGATGGGCTTCACTGCTCACAAGTCATTCTCAGTGTGTCCTGCTGTAGCTTTAGAGGGTACTTGGATATTAGGAAAAATTTCTTTACTGTGGGGGTTGCCCGGCACTGGAACAGCCTGACCAGGGAGGGGATCGAGTCACCATCCCTGGAGGTGTTTAAGAGAAGGGTAGATGTTGCGTCGAAGGACATTGTTTAGCAGTGTCGACAGGGCTAGGAAAGGGTTGGACTCGATGATCTTGCAGGTCTCCTCCAGCCAAAAATGTTCTATGATTCTATGACTTACCAGTGGTTTTCCCTCTGTCCCTCAGGCCTCGCAGTCATGCACTCGCAAAGCACGAACCAGCTGGATGTGGGGAACAACCCGCGTGTGGGCACCAAGCGCTACATGGCTCCCGAAGTCTTGGACGAAACCATCCAGGCAGACTGCTTCGACTCCTATAAAAGGGTCGATATCTGGGCTTTTGGGCTGGTCCTCTGGGAAGTGGCTAGGCGCATGGTTAGCAACGGTGAGTATTTGGGACTCCTTTACCTGGTTTTAGAAGGGTTAAGCAACTGGTAACTCACGTGAAGTGTCTGCCCCCAAAATGCATAAGATGCACAGTAAAATGCTGAACCTCCAAAATTTTGCTTCCTGACACGTTGCTGCCCATGTTGAAGTTGTTGGTGTGTTGAGTACAACGGCCTAATATTTTTATCATTTCTCTTAAGGTAGAGAGTCCTCTGCTGTGTTCTAAAGTATGGTGAGAAATAATTCCTACAAAATTGTCAGTAAAACTAAAAATTGAGAACGTGAAGTCTCTAACCTTTTTCCAGGTGTCATTAAACTCCAGGGAACACTTAAGGTTTCTCATGACAAAACGTAAGGAACGAAAGAAAACTATGTAGAAAATGAAGAAGTGGTCACAATTCAGGGTGCTCTTGCTTCACCAAGCTAAGTACGCTCACAGAGCAGGACGTGGTGCCACTGCTGTCCTGCTCTGGATAACACGAAGCACAATGTTGCTTCGTGTTTCCTTGGCAAAGGTGTCCGAATTTAAGAACCTTTAATCTGGGTTTAATCTGTTAGGGCTATTTCTTGTCAATTCAGAAGTCCTCTCTGACTTCCGGACCTCAGGCTGTGCTCTCTGGACCCGAGGGGACAGAAGATGCCCCTCAGGCATGTCTGCAGACCGTGGTAGTGTGGTGGGTTGTTAATGGTGATGCGTTTAAACGTGAGGAAATTCTGGATCGTCATACGCATTTATTTGCTCTGTGTCTGATCTGGTCCCACTAAATCCAAATCTGGGCTTCTGTAAGTGACATCAGGCAACGGGCCTAGGATACTTACGCAAGGTGCTTAAACCAAGCTGACTTGGAGGTACCAAAACCGAGTGGGTAGGCTCAGGTGGCTAGTTTAAGTCTCCTTGTAAGCCCGAGAGCTTGCCTTGATAGCTCTGAAGAGATCCAGGACAGGCTCTCGACCATCTGTGTGGGTGGTGGGCTCCTTTGGGGAGAAGCAATTTCACTTGCAGGGTGCACAGTGAGCAGCTCCTGACTCGCTGGAAGCTGGCAGCAGTCACGGGAGCCAGGGGGGCTTCATGGGCTTTCTGTGGGGTGGCCAGAGCTGAGCTCATCACCTCACCTTCCTCCTCCCTTCTCTCTCAGAGGAATTGCTTGAAGATGTTTGCAGCAAAAGGAATAGGTGGTGTTCTGATACAAGAACATAGCTCTGCTGAATCGCAGCATGATGATGATTGTGGGTGAGGGTGTGTGTGGTTAATCAGAGAAAGGAGGAAAGCCTTGTGAATGCACGGTGTTGATTTTTCTTAGGATGTGCTCTGTTGGAAAATGTGTGTTGTAGGTAGGTCTGAGGACTTGCTCAATGTTGGGAGGTCTCTGGGTTGCAGTTCACGTTGGTGTGAGGGCCTTGAGAACTTAAGCAGTAACTCCGTTGTTTTCCGTGCAGTTCTATGTTCTGTGCTTTGTCTGACTCTGCAGGCTGTGAGCCCTGTGGTTTGTCAGTTGCTGTAACGTGCTGGGCAGGGCTCAGTTAGCTCCTGGCTGCTTGTGGCCGAGGGGGACAGGCCTGACAGTGTCTGAGCACAACGTGATGGCAGAGCTTCACATGTAAGCTTTTGATTGATTGTGTGTTTTTAATGCCAGTCTTGAATTCTGTGTAGCTCATCTGGAATTTGTCTTGCCACAGTGCTGGTTTGGAGGCTGGTAATGCTTTGTGGAACGTTAGATGTCTTGCTTTGTACGTGAATATATGTTTATACTAATGCGTAAGTATACTATGCATAATATATTTAAAAAAAATGCAGTCTTTCCCAGTGACTCCTTGAAATTAATGGTAATACAGATATGTCATGACATTGGCCACGTCACTACTCTTCAGACAATGGTGTTGCTACTTCCACAGTGCCTGTTGCCAGTTTCTCTCTGTTTCTGGCTGCTGCCATGAGTAATCACATTTCCTTGTGCTGGTTTAGAACAGAGTAAGCATTTTCTCTCAGCTGTGAGTGTGAGCTATGTGGAAATCATCACTTCGTCAAGTGGTCGCTCAGATAACCCCGTGTGAGTTGTGGTGAGACTTTGGCACTGGGAGCGAGCGTGCTGAGGTCAAGGTAGCACGCTGCTGGGACCTGGGGGTGGTGTGTGTCTTCGGTGGGATGGAGGCACTCCTCAGTTACCTGTGAGAGAAGTTTTTGCTGCTGTCCCGTGGTAGTGGACACTTGTGATCTCATTTCCTGGGTGGAAAGGCAGAGTCTGCTCCAGCGAGTCAGCCTGGGTCAGTGCTTCGATTCGCGGAGACTCTGAAGTTGTCGTAATCTGACTAATGAGTCTAAGTTTTTAAAATTGTAAAACTTTTTTAAAAACAAAATTTTAAAAAACATTTCCTTTTGCATTTTTTAATTTCCTAAATGTTAGTAGTTTTTACCTCACCTAATGGTCTTCAAGCTGACACAGAGATTCTTAGTACTTTGCTGTTGTGGCTCCGCATACGGAGGCAGATGCAACAGGAAACTAAGTGAACAGAGCGCTGCCTTACGTATGAGTTCTAGTTGATTCAAACAGCAAAGAGCCAACAACCCCAGGGGAAAAAAAACCCCACAATACATTATAAATGACAGAAGTCCTCTTAACTGCCTGGGAAGCACGGGTGGCAGGTGGTGCTGGGCATGCCCCATCCCCGTGACTCATATAAAACCTCTTCTTTACCTGAACTGAAAGCACAGCCAACGTAGATATACAGGAGGTTCTTTGCATTCTTGGCTTCTCACAATAAACTTTATTCTGTGTTTTGGGGAGGAAGCAGGCAGAGCGTGAAGACCAGCTTCAGCCCGCTGGGTGGGGTTGATAAATGCCATTGTGATCGCTCGAAGCAGGAGGGTGGATGATGATGCTTTTTTTAAGCGGTGTGAATGTAGCCTGTCCTTCGCACCTACAGCGGAGTTCCTGGTGCCCTGCTTGTTGCTCCGCGTTGGGGCCTTGCGTGGGCAGCCACATCACTGAGCTGTCCTCCCGTTTTCGAGGGGAGCGGTCATTTCTTGGAAGGCCATTTTCTTTTTTTGCCTAGTCATCACAGGTAGGGATTTACAGATTTTTCACAGAGTATCTATGGGATTTGGATCTTCGTCTCCAACAGAACAAGAAAATTAAAAACTCAACCACTGTGAGAGGTTTGAGAACCTCTTTTCAAGGTTCTAGGTAAGCTAAGCGATGAGTTAAACCATATATTAGAACCTCATTAACCCTTTGGTATACATCTTCCATTTTTTATTTTATTGCTCTTCTTCTATTTGGTTTCAATGTTCCGAAGCACGGTAGAATGGAACAAGCAACGCGGGTTTAATTGCAGATATAATCGGCACATCCTTTATTTTTTCAGTTCTAGATGTTTCTCATGCCCAGCAACTACAAACAAACTATTGTGAAATCAGCCTTCAGAAACTTTTGTTAACTCCTTCTACAGCACTGCACTTGAAAATAATTGGATGTTGTGAGAGCACACGTGTAAACTTGAGTTTTCAACACAGAATCCTAGGAAATGCAAGCAGACACTGGGTGCCACAGGCTCTTGGGTGTTTGGCTTTACCCTGGCACGTGCTGCCGGTTACCCTCCGTATTCTACTGTTTTAATAACAAGAAGTAAAATTTGAAGCACTGATGTGAGGGTCTGTAGATGCTGATACGCTTATTGGACTCTTTCAGGAATGACAAAGCTGTGCAAAGTGTGTGGTAAGCCTGTTGAAAACCACAATGCAGACGTGGTGGTGTTTACATTTGCTGGTAGAAACCCCAGTTTTGCTGTAGCCAATAAACCTCCACGTGTTATAAAAGACGGCCTTTTGACAAGTGAATTTATTTCTCGTCATTTCAGCTCAAGCATCTGCAGAATGGACCTAGTTCTTACTTTGTGGAAATGTACTTTGAGCCAATTAATTAGCATTTTGGGTAGAAAAAGTTGTTCCTATGATAGTAAGCATTGTTTTATTGTTGGATGGCTGCTTGACGCTGTGGTGTGTTAACGTTTAAAATGTTTTTGTGCTTCTTACATGGCTAGGTGATGTGTTCTCTCTCTGTGCATTTGCTGTTTCACTGGCACAGTTATTAAATGATGCATCTCTTGTGTCTCACCAGGTATCGTGGAAGACTATAAACCACCATTTTATGACTTGGTTCCGAACGATCCCAGTTTTGAAGACATGAGAAAGGTGGTCTGCGTAGATCAGCAAAGGCCGAACATTCCCAACAGATGGTTCTCAGACCCTGTACGTGGGTGACTGGCAGAGCTGACCTTTCTTCTTTTGAAATAAAGTCGTGAGAGTAATTTCCAGTTGTTGCTTGAGATGGGGAGCATCACCCCTGCAGATTTCAGCGACACTCTGGTGTGGATCTTTAGGCTGGAGCAGGAAGAAAACACAGCGGGCAAACTTAGTAGTCTTAAGCCTGAGCTCTCCACAGATTAGCCTTTTAGTAGTACTGTTAACTGTTTTAAAGCTGCCCTGATGTTGTTACTCTCTCCAGCAGGGAGTTTCTTTAAGGGGAAGGTAGCCTGTGTAGGGCTTGCAGTGGTGTATCAGCATGCAGATCTAGAGCAGAACTTTGGTCTCTCTCCTGCCTACAGGATAAGGGACTGTTGTTCTTTTCAAAAGGCTAGTGCTGAAGTTTCTTTTCCTTCATCAGAATCAGCCTAGACTCTGCAGGTTGACCGACTGTTTAGTTCCTTATTGCTGAAACTGTGGAGTTCGGCTTGAATCTGGCTGGCTGGCTGGGGCCAGCGAGGACGAGAGGTCCCGTCCGTTCCATGAGGGTTTGGTTCAGGACATAGAGCCGTGACCTGTGCTGCCAGCCCAGCCGTTCAGCGCTGCACTGGGCGCACTGAAATCGCGGGCAGGACGTCTGTACCTTCTCTGGCTTCCTTCAGTCGTCCTGCAGGAGTTAATTTCTTTGAAAAAAGATCCTGTGGAGTTTGTTCTTAAATTAGAAAAACCCCAAAACTCCATTGCTTAAAGTTACACTAGCTTGGTGCTCCCGTCAGCCCACTGTCTGGTTGTTCTCCCGCTTTAGCCAAGTTACCAGGCTTGAGATTTTCTTCAGCACTTGAGAGCTGTGTATTTGTATTTGTAAGATAGCAGTAAGCTCTCTGTAGACCGAGGATTGAGTATTAATAAGGTGATAAACCCTGATTGTGTTAGTGCTTAGCCCAATCGAGCGCTATCCCGCCTTGCAATTTGTGTGCTTACCTGTGTGTTTTCTTCTGTTCCCAGACGTTAACCTCCCTCGCCAAGCTGATGAAAGAGTGCTGGTATCAAAACCCATCGGCGAGACTAACAGCCCTGCGAATCAAAAAGACTTTGACCAAAATTGACAATTCCTTAGATAAACTGAAAGCTGACTGTTGACCTTCTTGTGGTGCTCTCCTGGTAGGAAGGCGTTTGTCTGGTCCCGAGGTCAGTCTGTCTGGCCAGACCTTGACTTGACCGGTCCCCGCATGGCTCCTCGGCGAGGCGGAGGTTCTCGGCGGGGCGCGGGGCGGCGGCACCAGCTGGACTTTGCTCAGTGACTACGACGGGCATTTCACAAATGGTCAAGCTCTACGGACTCGCGCTGGATGTACTGTTGCAAAGGTAGTGGCCTGAAGGAAGACACAGAAATCCTAAGACAAGATCAGGGCATTAAATAATGGCTTCGAACAGCTTATTTTCTTTTTTTTCTTTTTTTTTTTTTTTAATTCTCCTAATCACTTCCAGGGTGAACACATGGAGGTGGTAAATTTTAATCAGCAATATTGCCTGTGCTTCTCTTCTTTATTGCACTAGGAATTCTTTGCATTCCTTACTTGCACTGTCACTGTTAATTTTAATGACATGACTTGCCAAAAATATGATTGGCTGTATACTATGTTGATCTATGCCTGAATAATAGGAAATGAATTTGGTAAACTGAAAATGTAACTGTCAGATTTTAGCTGCATTTACATGTGTACTGATGTTTACAATAATGCTGAACACTAGGAATTTCTCGTTTATACAAAACTTGCAAATTATTTATTACTAGTGCACTTGCCAGTTTTTTAAACTGTAAAATAAGTGCATAAAGTTAAAGCTTATTTTTATGTGGCCTCTTTCATGATTTCTTACACAGATGTTTTTGTAACAAGATATAACCCGAAACATAAATTGTTTTCTGTATTATCATATTACAACTCGATAGTCACATTTTAAGTGCTTCACATTTGTAGGTGTGTGGTCTGTAACATATTTTCAGTTCAAATATGGAACATATATATAGCCATTACCCACATGACGTTGTGTCTAGTATCTTACCGATCTAGAAGAGGAAAGCAACGGAGGAATTAACTAGAACTTTAGGTCATGAATGCTGTGGGGAAAATGCATTTTATTTCTTCTAAGCTATATAATATGCATTTAAACTCTGCCAGAAAAATAACTATTTTGTTTTAATCTACTTTTTCTATTTAGTAGTTATTTGTATAAATTAAATAGAATGTTTTCAAGTCAAACAAAAGAGTGGTTTAGTTCTCTTGCTGCCTGTTGGTAGCAGTGACATGGCTGCGGCACCCCTGGCCCCACGCGGGGCAGACGGAACACTGAGGCTGCCGGTGACAGCGCTTTGTCTGGGCAGGTTTCCCTGTCCTGAGCTGCATCCCAGCGGGGAACCAGTGTCCTCTCCTGGGCCAGGACGGCAGCCCTGTCCATGCGGCGTGCTAAGTGGCACGAGGCACGGGATCCCCCAGCTCTGTGCCCCACAGGGAGCTGCCACCTCTGCCCGTACCTCGTTGTGCTCTCGTTCTGGTAACGGTGACGTGATGGTGCCCCTGGGTAAAGGATGCCTTCATTCACAGGCTTGTCACCATCCAGCTAATCCAAGGACCTGGACAGTAATTGCCCCTTGGACTTGTTTCCTCTCTGGGTTCAGAAAACTTCTGGCGTTCCCTTCTGTGCTTTAAGTCTGCCAGGTTTGGCTCTCCTCTTGCTCTTGTACCTTGTCCTCAGCCCCGGTCTTCCTCGTCCTGCTGCAGCCAAGTGGCTCACCTTTCTCCTTCTCCATCTCCAGTGTGGAAAGAGCAGCCAGGTTTGTGGGGCTGGGAGCTGTGCGGTGCTCATCGAGGGGATACCAGTTGCTAGGCCTCTTAATTAGACTTGATGAGGATCCGAGCAGATCCAGTGCTTCAAAAAAGCCCAGGAAAAACGGGGTCTGATCAGTTTCTATTGTTAGCTTTTCATGTCGGTGTTTGAGTTTTCCCATCTCCAACCTTTTCCATTCAGGTGTTGGAGGAGAGAGATGATCGTGTGATGGTTAAGCACAGTTGTGGCCATTCTGGCCGAGTTTGCAGTGCCTTCCTCGCGCTGCAGAGCCACTGCGTCTGCCTGGATGCCAGGGGAGATGCAGCAGCTCCTGAAGAGCCCTCTGTGTAGGGAGAGGACGTGACTGCGGGTTGGGAGCAACTCTGTATGCTCTGTAGTGGTTTACTCTGCTGTCCCTGAATATCTGAGTTCTCTACCTGCAGCTGAGGGGGCTTCTCCAGGGGCTCTTGCAGGGAACTGCCAACCTCTTCTGCGTTTGATGCAGGCTCGGTAGAGGAACTTCAGCGTGAATTAAAGCTGGAGCCTTGGCTCTCCCTGTCTGTAAAGCAGGGTAACCAACTAAAGGATAAAACCACAGACTGTAGAAACACCCTGGTAATATCCCATTTATCCTGTGTTAGGTAAAGAAGATTATCCAGGCCAGCTACTGGCAGGGTAAAAAAAGTTCGTTGAGTGCCAGGGGTCCGAGGCACTCATCGATGTGCCTGGCAAGGACGTTTTCATTGGTGCTGCTCCACATAGCTTGCTTTTGCATATCAAAACATCTCAAGATTATTTTAAACAAAATTCACATTCATGCCCTCCTATTGAAGTGTTTTTGGTCTGGGCTTTGACTGACCTATTTGAAATGTTAATTATGTTTTTCTTCCGTTAGGTGACTGTTGGGCAAACTGGAATCAAGAAAGTTGAGCAGGAGATGATGATAAGTAATTTCTTAGCAACTTCTTATCCTGTGATTTAGGGATAAGTCCTTCAGCACTGTGCTTTTCTAATGTGTGCTTGCTGCTCAGGATAGGGGTCCGTACTTTCGAAAACCAACAGAAATGGCAGCATTCTGAGCAGTCCTCGTAGGAACTAGAGGGTCGTGCACCTGGGAGCACAGAAGGAAAAGCTCAGTCACAGCCAGGAAAGGTTTATCTGCAGTCTGTGTTATTTAACCTCATTTTCAAGGGTCTGGACAGTCATAGGAGAAAATTCATTGCTGCTCTTCCCCTGGAGGTGTCAGGGTTTGGGAAGTGGGGGGAGTCTCGAGGGATGTGCATGAAGGTAACACCCCCACCTCTCATGCTCACCTCCCAGCGTGTTTATTGATTGATGTTCCTCTGATAACCCCTTCAAATCTAATCTTCTGAAGAGATTTGGAATGCTTATAGATAATCTGCTGCATCAAGGGTGTCGCTGCATTTATTACTATGGAGATGGCACAGGCAGTTTCATAGTTGAAGCTGAATTATTCATGTGTCTGGCGGATCTGCACCGCGTGCAGACAGTGTGGATCCTGGTAAGAGGAGGCCCTGCAGGTAGAAATACGAATAAAATGGTGCATGAGCAGCACCGTCTGTTGGGTTCAGCTGTCCCGTTGATAGGAACGCCCGCCTGCCAGTCACGGGAGGAAGGCTGGGCAAAAAACCGAGCTGCTTCAGGTTGGGGAGGAAGGGAGGTTGCTGGGTTTTGGTTGGGTTTCTCTTTTCAGATGCGGGAGGCCGGTTGGTTACTGGTCAGGAGCATGTTCCACTCTGAGGGGTGTCCTGGGCAGAGCTGCCCGACACAGCCCAAGGCCGGCGGCTCAGGTCAGCGGTGCTGCAGTGAAGTCCTCCCACTTGTCTGTAGCTTTCCTTGTGGGCCTTCTGTGCTGGAATTTTCCAGGAAAAATCCATATCAAGCCCTCTAGAATTAAGTTTTTTATTTACTTGGATTAAATTATTTTGATAGGGATGACGAGGGGGAATTCCCTTCCGTGCAAGGTGAAATCTCTGCTGTGCGAAAAGGTCGGCCTTGCTGTGGTGCTTGGTGTTGCTCCTAATGACTAATTTCTCCATTCCCCACCAAAACGCTGACCACTGGAAAAATGTGGTGACTGAGGGGTTTGCTGCCGCAGAGCCCTGAACTCCTAAAATCAATGACATTCAGATACGGGCATCAGTTTTAGCAGCTCTGTGGGATTTTTCGAAAAAATGAAAAGGTGATGCTTTGTTCAGCTTCAGCACTGGGGTTTTTCTTCTTTGTAGGCATCTTGGAGAGCTGCACATTTTTTTAAATTATTTTCTTGTTTTGGTGGCTTTCACAGCAGACAGAAGGCAGCAACACGCCCTGAGCTGAGGTGGGGCTCCAGGGAAGGGAGGAAGGGGCAGAGCGCTCTGGCTGCAGCCCTGCCCCGCTTTGGATCTGCTCTGTTGTTAGTGCTGCCCTTCACTTGCTTCCTTATACCAGTTCAAAGATATCGGAGTGCTTTAGCGGGGGAGGAAGGCTGCGATTTTCATCCCTTGTCACTCTAGCCAGGAAAAACCACTATCCAAATCCAGAGTTACTTGAGCGGTTTGCCCCATTTCATTATTTTTGTAATCACTTAGCCACAGCGAGAGCTTTCAACAGCGCAGCTGTCGCTGACCAGACCCGAGGACTCTGTATCACACCAACCTCTTACCCCACAGGTCTCTGCAACAGTAATCTCTATTTTTGACCTCTTCAGAAACTCCTTACCCCTAATACCATAAATATGTCAGATTTGGGCCATAAATCTCTTTTCATTTTCGGGATGTTCTCCTCCTGGAAAGCCTGCAGCGTTACGACACGATACCTGCTGCCGTAGGCTGGGGATATAGCGAACCCTTGGGTGCCAGAGAGGAATTTTATTCTGAAAACTTGCAAAAATAGCTCTCACATAACATTGTCTGCCTTAAATAAAGAGAACACGTCTCTAATGTGAGTGCCAGAAAGGAGGAAAGTGGAAGGTACAAGGAGTTCAAAAGAAGAGCGAGCAAAGGAAAGCTTTCCCTAACTCACTGTATGAAGATGCTGCAAAATAAGGAGGGAAAAATAATGCCTCTTGCCCACCCTTTACCTTTCTCTGGTGGTTTAGTGTATGTGGATCTTGCAATCTTTAATCCATGGAGTTAAATATAGCCTAATATTTGTCATACACTTGAGCTGGTTAGGAAATGTTAGGGAACACAAGCAGCAGTGTTTTCTGACATTTACTGTGTCAAGTCTCTTGTAGTGAGATTCGCTATGAATTTAAAATACACGACTACCCCTCCTCATTAGGAGAAAGAACATTGACAGAAGAAAAAAAGAGGTATTTGGTTGTTTCTAATTGATCGCTGAAATTAGATAAATTTGTATTTTCTCTACAAGCACCTTTTTAAAATGCTGCTGCAGAAACTTCACCGGATTTGGTATTCTCAGTGTCCTTGGCTCAGTTTTGTAAGGATCTTGAATTAAAATGAACTAAAGCCTTTAGGGAGGGGGCTCCCTAAAGATGGCCTAAAGATGGATGGTTGGGGTTTGCTTTCGCTGTTCCTGGTGAAGCTTCACCCTTAACCCTGTGGCAGTATGGCCAGGAGGAGGAGGAGGCGGCACCATCTGTGCTGGGCTGATGAGAGAGGAGGACTCGGCCAATCATCCTGAGAGCAGAGGTGAGGGGGGCACAGTGGACAGCCCAGTTAGAGAATTAACTTTGTAATTACACCAATGCTCGCTCTTTGGATGCTTCTTGTGTCTGAACGATGCTAAAATGTTCCCAGGGGTTCCATTATCGCTATCTGCATCGCTCCAATTAATAGAAACTTATCGATGGATTTGTGGGTGACTTTAATACATTTCAAAGCTGTAGGACGCAGTATTTGGGGAGGTGTAAATAAAGAATTGTAAAATAGTTCTTGAAACAGTTTCAGATTTATTTTTTTTTTTACTCTTTTTCTAATTGCCAGGTCAACAATGCCATGTTTTTCTGGGAATGTATCATTCTGATGGCAATCTTTTTTAAGATTTTGTAGCATTTCTGGATGAACAGAGGGAGACAGACAGACTGCCAGGCAGCGCCCTAGCTGGGACGCTGGCCGGGCTGTGCAGTACCAAGGTGAGGGGAACTGCTGACCTGTCGCCTGCTCTGGGATCTCTGTGTCTTTCCGTTTGTTTTGCTTGCGCAAAATTTCAGTAGGTCTTAGTTTTCTCCTGGTGTGGAGCAAAACAAATTACAAAACCAAATTCTTGTTTTCCAGCCAACCCTAGAAGTACTTCCAGTTCGCAAATGTTTTTATGATGTTACCCATTTCCAAAGACTCTTAAATCCCCAGGATACGCTATTTCTGTCCTACTATGAACCGTGCCATGCAAACATCTGACTTGGGAGCACTTTTGCCTCACAATGGCCTCAAAGCTAGTAGTATTTTCCCCTCCCTCCCTTGTTTTGTG